CATATGCAGCAAGCACAACATGTCCATGAAGTCTGATTTACAAAGGCAGAATTTCAAAGACAGTAACRTATGAGAAATTTATCTCATCTAGACTTGACAGGAATGTTATAATTCAGCTAAAGTAAGACAGTGAGAACAATGGTAGAGATAGCCAGTGCTTACCCTAAGTCAGGGACTTTTCAGTTTTTCATGTTCTGCCAGTGAGGAGGAAGGAGAAGGCTTCTTCTGCACAAGAAGCCAGGAAGGAGCATGACTGAACAGCTGGCCTGAACGAGGGTATTCTGTATCATTGAACATTGTGCTCAGCATRTGAACTGTGAGGAGTTGGTCACCAGGGGCAGATTGCCCCTTGAGGATGCAWTGGTCAGGAGGTAGTGAGCAGTTATATTATACATCACTGTTTATTTTCTTCCCTTTTTTATTCCTCTTTTTTTTTTAAATCTCCATTTTCATTACAATAACAATTATTATTTCAGTTAGTTACCTGTTCTTATTGCAACCCATGAGTTTTACTTTTTCCAAGCTCTCCTCCTCATCCCATTAGAGTGGAGCATTGTAAGCAAGTGGCTTAATTGCCTGCTAGGGTTAAACTATGACAGATTTGTTGTCCTTTATCAAACTTGAAGAACAGAAGGTCTGAGGCAAGACATAATAGTAATTACTGATGATTAAAAGAACAAATTGATCTATTTAATTCAGAGCAGAAATGAACAAGACATGAGGGATAGGTTAACAGTGAATAAAAATAGTTAACACAATAAATCAGAAAACAATAAATCAGAGATTTCTACTTATCTGTTCCTTCAGTAAAATGTGAAGGTGTAAAATTGAAATCTGGTAAGAATTTTTTATTTCACATGAGGAAAGGTGGAGATAGCTGGGCCTGTTTAGTCTGCTGAAGAGATTACTGAGGGGAGATCTTATTAATGCATACATATATATCTTACAGGCAGGTAACAAGAGGATTGGCTCAGACTCTTTTCAGCATTRCCCTGCACAACACTGCAGCTGACACAAACTGAAACACAGGATGTTCCTTTGGAACAAAAGGAAAATATTCTGAGGGTGAGAGAGCACTGGAGCAGATTGCTCACAGAGGTTGTGGAGAATCCCCTTCCCTCAAGATATTAAAAACCTTCCTGGACAAAATCCTGTGCAAACTTTTCCAGGTGAATCTACTTTAGTGAGGCTGAGAGGAGTATGGAAGGTTGTATTGGTTCCAGAGGTCCCCTCTGATCCCACTGTTCTGCAATTCGGTGATTCGGTGATTTTATACAGTTAATCTAAAGCACTGAAGTGGCCACAAAATAGCCACAAATATCTCAGAAACTTCAATAATGGAAGATTATCAAACAGACATGATAAGCCTAAGACAAAAAGTTCACTCCTACAAACATGTAACACRGTGCATGATAGTGACTACTGTAAATATTAATTCACATTTACTTAATTTTTCATTGAATTAGTATTTTACCAGGTGTGCAAATTGGACAAACAGTAAAAAAAGGCTTACAAAGTTAGGAATTTAATGTGGAAATGTGGAATTTATTGCAAATTATAACAAATATGTTTAGGTTTAAAATTCAAAGTCTTGCTTGGGTTAAAATTTGGTAACTCAGCTGTGGAAAATTCAACCCAACTTTTGACCTCTTGTGTTTTAACTTTAAACTCTAGCCTCAAATTATTTTCTTCTAAGAGAAAATTCCTTAAAAAAAAAAAACAAATGGGATGAGACACAGAATTTGCGGCAAATAATATGACTAGCTTTCTAGCTTTTTTTAATGAAACACCTAACCTATTTTTTTTAAATTCTTAATATAACAAATAAAAGCCTTTATTAATTCAAATTTAATCTAAATCAGTTTTGGATTAACTCTGCACAGATTGCTTCTTTTTTTTTTATCTGTCTTGATATAAATTAAATTTTCCACCTTTAACTTACTGGAAAAGGAAACTTTTTCACATAATGATACTGTCAACCTCTGCTGGAAGGTCACCTTGTACTACACTACTCCCTAAATACTAGTTTAGGATGTCAAATTTTCTGCCATCTAAAGTACCTATACTCTAATTTATTTGTACTTGACAGTACACTTTACATTGATAGACAGTTAGTTGAAAAGCATAAAAGTGTTGTGAAGAAAAAGTTGAGAACTTTTTTCCATTGCTCAGGGACTTAAAAACAATCCATCCATACATAAATATCAATTTTACCTTTTAGTTCAGTAAGCTGACATGGTTTATAACTCATTTGACTYGCAGTATAAATTTACAGATTACAATAGTGAGTCTGAAAAACATCTAAAAAATATTGCTGTGATAACAGAAGGGCTTCAGGAAGACAGAACGAGTAGTAGTTTTTCCTCCCCCTATGGAACATGGAGGAATGGAAAGGCTTGAAACAAAACAACCAAATGTCAAGCTTTCAGGTTCTGACTTCTTATGTTACATTCCAGAGTTTTAAAAAAAAAAAAAAAAACCCAAAGCAACAAACGAAAAACAAGCCCTGTTAAAGGAAACTTTAAATCTTGTCTTAATTTTTTTCCTTCATACACATAAAGAGCTTTGTCTGGAAGCTGTTAAAAGATCTTCYATAACCATTCACATAATTTGTCCAACATACTTGGATCCAAGATGAAGTGGATTCAATTCTAAAAAGTTGAATATAGGGCTTTAATGTAAATCAGACTATTTATTTGAAACATGAAAATATCTTTCATGTTTGTATGATTACCTGTATGTGTTGTGGCTGCATATTTATCACTGCTGCCTTATAAATTGCTCATTTAATCTAAGCTTCAAATTTATAATATATCATAAATATTCTTTCCTATCCAAAAGAACAGTATCATTTTATCTTGCAGAAAAAATCTTTGTCATAAGGGACATGACTTTTGTATTATAGTATWAAAATTATTTTGAATCTATCACAGTTTGTTGTATTGAGCAATCTGTAATCATCTCCTTAATTAATTTCAAAAGCAATTTGATTTTTTCCCTCTGTGTAATAGAAAAAGTCAAGTTTGAATTACTTATTCATTTGGGGACAGAAAGCAGCTGTGAAGTACGTAAAGCAACTTGAAATAATTTTACTTATTAACTCTCATGACAGAGTCTGCAATTTTTCTAAATCAGGTATTGGTTTAGATGCTGATCCTGTAGACACTGATCTGGATAAAGAATTCCATGTTCTGGCTGATAAGGGTAAGAGGTGATATAGGCAAACAAGAAAAATAACAATTACAGAGATTTATGACCAGAAAATTACACTTAGTAGTGTCATTCAGCTTAAAACTTTTATAGTTCATCTAAAAGGTAAGCTAACATAGAAAAGGGTGTGGGTTGAGTTATAAGAGGCTCTTTCTTTATATAGCACTGAGTATAACATAGAAATAAACTCAGGGCAGTCTGAAAATGTACAGCCTGGGAAGGTCAGTAGCTGCAAAAAAAGGTGTGGGTCGTTTCTCTCCTCAGATATTGAAGGCAGCAAGGTAGAATATAATGAATTGAGGACAGAAAGGTGAAAAGTTGGCTATGACAGAAAGACAGCAATATTATATCTCTCATATTGTCTCTGCAAAGCAATCAGTCCACTTGAGAAAGTCAATTTACAGAAGTCCAATTTCCTTTATCATGTGCAAGAGAAGAATGGTATCTCAGCATGAATATTAAATATCCACAAAATTCAAAAAGAGCTCTCCTACAAGCAGCACAGACTTAAAAAATATGGAGAAGGTGGAGAAAATGGTGAACCTGGACCCAGGCTGACCACAACTGCCAACAAACTGAGCTATGATGTGAAGCTCCAAAGCCTCACAATATGGAGCTTGGGCAGTTAAACCTTTCTTTCAACAAAATTGGGCTGTTTTGTTAAACTAAATTCGCAAGAAGTACGGATTTCTTCCTGTTCTCTTGGGAGTAGGTTAGCAATTTATGCTGGAGCCCACCCCAGCAGGTATCATTTACCCASCCACTAAAGAATTCTTTAGAGTACAGCGGGCTAAGGTGTTTCCTTCTCCTTCCCTAAGCCTTTCAGAACCTTAACACTTATGGAAGAGTTCAGACCACACTGATGCAAAAGTTCAAAACAGATAACTTGACAGGTTTGGGGAGAGAAGAAATGATCTTTTTTCCAWGCAAGTGTGGGCCAGAAGTCTTGGCTTTTGTGGCTGAGAAACCTGTTTGTATTATCAAAAACCTGTTGTCAATCATATAGACTTCTCTTAATTTAACATTATATCCCTAAATCATCTCTCCTTTCAGTTTAACTCAAGACTTCTTCGGTCTATCAGATGTAGGGGAGGCTTCTTCAGTCCCAGTAGGGGAAACAGAAGTTTTCAAACAGTAATTCAGACTCCAGAGATTCACAGACYTCCTAAACATTCTTCAACCCAGCTGCAGACAGGCAATCCAAAAGTGGAACAGGGACTTCCAGAGAAAGCCAGTGTGAGAAGGTAGCATCATAGCACACCAGTTACCCTAATAATTATTCAGACAATTTAAAGTTTTGTTTAGCCAATATAACACCAGGGAAGAGTTTATGGGAATGCTTAGAAAGARGCACTTGTAGTTTTTTTTTCCTTCGTTATATAAGAAACTGTCATGGCAAATCTGCAAATGGTCTTCCACACTACACAAGAAATAAAAATTAAACAGGTGAATGACTACCTCAGCCACCCCCTATCAGCTTAACTCCTCTTTAATTAAACCAGTTGATTTACTTAAAAAAACCCTGTGGCGTTCCAACCGTGGGAAACTGCGAGGAGTTMTTTTAAAATGGATGGTCAAGAACAAAATGAAATCAAACGAGACAAACTTTGTATCTCAGAAACATTTATTGGTAACGAAAACCAAGAAGTAGTTGCCCACTAAATGGGGCTGGAAAAGACAGCAAAAGAGAAAGGAAAATGGAAAAGGAATGGGTAGAGAGAGAAAGGAGACAGAGGGAGCGAGCGTTACCACCAGTAGGAGCGGGGGGTGCTGTCGGTGTCCATGTGACGGGGGTGAGCACTGCTGCCGGACGGAGAGCGGCTCAGGGAGAGGAGCGGTTCCCGTGGAGATGGGCTGCTGGACACGCGGTGAGTGGACACTCGGRCAGGWCCGGGTCCCTGGGTGGAGTTGACGCGAGGATCTCAGTGGCGGGCGAGGYTGGAGGCAGGAAGGTGGCACAGCGGAGGCTGGGTCAGCGAAGGAGCGAGGCGAGGCAGACGCTGCACTGCAGGCTTGGAGGGCAGACGGTGTCCTGCCGAGCACCCAGGAGGGAAGGCAGATACGTAGTGGGCGAGCAAGAGCTAGCGAGGGCAAAATCCACCCCCAACTCCAGCTCAAAGTCCCGCACAAAACTCCGCACCCCCCATTCAACTCTCCCGAATTCACCTCCACGCAAGGCTCATCGCGCAGTTAACTTTTATACCCCTGGCKCCTCCCAAAGTCTGCCTGCTGATCAGGAGACCATTGGTCCAGTCCATCCTTCTTCCATTGGTGGAGCCCTTCCACCCTCCGATTGGAGAGATTTCTCTGGGGAGAGCAGTGTCTCCAGGTGCCCATCTGAGGTGTTGCCAGGCGAAATCCCCAGCAGGGACAAGCCTTCACCCATCTCCTGTTTGCCTCCTGCAGGCTGCAAGTGTGCACCCCTTCCCCCACATGCCTCTGACAAGCAGTGTTGAGGCAAACCAAGATTGAAATGGCTCCTCACAAACCCCAACCTGGGGTCAAGCCCAGACTAAACCATGTACAAAAATCAAAGGCTGAAAAGTATGACCAGAACAGATGAGCCTGAAGGCATCATGGTTTGGAAACAGCCAAAGAGTTATTGGTTTAATAAAAATRAGCATGGAATAGCACAGAAAATTTTACAAGAATTTGAATGARCAGAATTAATAATTGGGAGTCTGCTAAAAGTAAAAATGTAATATAAAACTAGTGATATAAAACAATTGAAGGTAGAAAACAAGACAAGGGCTTAATTTTGATGCTTATTTGGTTTTTAATTTGTAGATATCTTATAAAATTCTAAATTAAACTATACTGCAGTTTGCATGATGTTTCGTTTTGCCTACAATATTGTGATTCCATATGTGTTGGCAAGTGTGCGTTTCTCTTTGCCTAGTCCCCTACCCAACTGTCTCCCTCTTCCTTCCTCCCCCCTGAAAATAACAAACAATTCAACACTGAGGGTTTTATTTTATATGGGGCAATGCGATACAATATGTTCATTGTATTTCAGCAAAATGCAGCAACCACATTTTCTTCATCCTTGAGGAATTTTCCCATCATGTGCCATAATCTCAGTCCTGTAATCTCTTCCTATAAAATTCCCTGGCATACCATATTGATCCCATTGAAGCCAAAATGATCAATGACAGGTTTGTCACTCATGCTTGCTCATCCAGTGCCCAAGACTATTCAGATCAGAGAAGTTGTTGTAGCAGGACACATCTGATTTCTAATGTGTGTACCTTAATTTTAGCCCCATGGAAATTCAGGTATGATAAAGAAGGGAAGGGTCACAAACCTCAACCTTAGCTTCTAATGCAATCAAGTCACAGACAAGCCATAGGCCCACTGCAGGAACTGAGAGATACACCTGAGGCCCCACAGTACATAGGACTAATAAGTTGTTTGACAGATTGATCTAATTTGTTTCTTCACTGACATTCTTCTTTCTTTGTTTCAGCTTTTTTCCTAAGCACACACTTCAAGGATGTCAGTTTGTAACACAGTTAAAAGCAAATGAAAAAAAGATTTTAAATGGCAGAAACTGAAATGTTATTYCTCATCCTGCCATTTAATTTCTAAATTTATGTATTTAACCACAAACTTATTTTTTGCTATTAATCTTGGCCATTTGCTCATTTGAAAAATGGAACATATGGCTTGACACATATGGTTATTCCTACATTAAAGAAATCAGATACCCTCGCAAGTGAGATGTGTCGGGGAAAAGAAATCTGTCTTCTGTTTGCCCTAGTAACTACTTGTCTATCAWATCACTTGTCAGTCACTGCTACTTAAAACCACTCAAAGAAAGGGGCAGTGATTCATTATTAAAGCCATGCTCTGACACTACTATATGCAAAAGGTTTTCATGTGTGACTAAATTCAGGTAGGAAAAATGCATCTTTTTACACTGAATTACAAAACAATCAGCTAAATATTTTTACAGTTCTACTGACACAAGTAGCTGTTTATAATATATCAGGWTAGAAATGATCAGAAATATTTCAATTTTTTCTTGCACAAATAATGTAATTTTCATCATTTTGTAAATAGGATAAGTTTTGAAATTTTTTTTCAGCTACACATATTTCAAAAACTGACTTTAGATGTAGGTCTAAAATTTAGTTTAAAACAATTAAAATTGAACTAAAAGCTTCAATATGACCAAAATGTGTTGATATTATGGACTTGGACTTTTTCGAGTTTTAACTTGCTTTGGAGGACTTTTAAAAGTGTTTCTTGTTTGATTTGAAATGAGAAAAGACATAAAAACTATGGAACATTTTGTGAAATGGAAAATCTGGTTCTTACTCAGTCTACTCTAATTCCTGTTCATCTAAATCCTGTTAGTTTTCAAAATTCAAGTTAATTAACTATCTTTGTCCCATAAACATCTTTAATGACTTCACATTTTTCTTCAGAATATTGTTGATCTCTGCCACAGTCATCCAGTTCTAGCTTTGGGTTTTATTGAGGCTTTCAGCCTCTTCAGAAGTTGCACAAATGGAGCTGTCCCTGCCAGATGGGTTTATAGCACCAGGCAAAAGGAAAAACARAATAAGAGGCAGTCTGACTCCCGCCCACTTTTTGTGCTGTCTCAACTACTGAAACCATTTCATCTCTCAGTGATGAGGCAAAGGAGAAAATAACTACTGTTCTTTATTTCCCTATTTGTCACACACATACAGTGGTGTCTTGGAAGAGAAAGAAAATGTATTTCGAGGGAGAAAGATTAGCAAAAATTAAAAAGAAAGGAGGAAAGGAAGGAATATGGAGGGAAAATATRCTGTAAGGGAGAAAAGGTTTATGTTAATGTAACTACCATGAAAAGGTTCATGGKTTAAGGTACAATAGTATGCATACATGTTGTTGTTTAGGAATGGTATACCCTAATTTAGTGCTCCCATTAAARTGAAAATCATTATCTCCTCTCTTCCCCCAGACCCACCAGTAAGAGACACAAAAGGCAAAGATCCCAAGTTGAGATGCAAACAATTTACTGAAAAACAGCAATGAGATAAGAAAATGAACAGCAACAGCTATAGTATTAATAATAAAAGTGCAAAAAGTCCAGCTAAGGGAGTTGTACTGCTTGAGGGCAGTGGATATATAAWTGTTTAGAAATGTTTCTATAGGGTAATTTGGAATTTTCTCTTATATAGCTATTTGAGTTTATCTTAAGTTAAAGATATGGCTATGTTTCTTATTATTGTACTAGTTGATTAGCATAACCTCTGTTTTCCAATCAGTCCCTCAGAGTTTAATTGGTGTTTTTACATTCTAGATCAATAAACAAATTAATGATATGACACCATTAATGTATTTTCAAAATGAAATAGTAAAAATTAAAGCAGATTAGCTTTTCTGTTTATATACTCTGTTTATTATTTGAACTATTGGTTTAATGTTTCCTTTCCAATTTGTTCACATCAGTCTTTATTCAACTTCATGTTAGGTCCAATTCCTGACTTACCTGTCCACTTTTTTTTTTTTTTTTTTTT